TTGGCGTCGTCATTCCCAAACTGGTTGCCGGACGAAATCCAGGGTTGGTAATAGTAACATAAGATACGTACGGCAGAATTCCCTGCCATAAATAAAATGATCTGGCTAACGCCAATGTAACGCGAAATAGGTGCAAAGAGTTTTGCGATAGGAAGCGTAAACCGCAAAAAAGGAAAAAAAAAGAAAGAAAGAAAGAAAGACTGAAGAAAAGGATAAATTAGAAAAAAAAATCTCTGGTGACTTGGCCAAAAAAAATTCTGTTCATGTGATTTTTCTCGCCACGTGACCAAACAAAAAAAAAAAACGAAAAAAAAATAACACGAGAAAAAAAACCATCCCCTGCCCGGTTTCGAAGCTAGGCCCTCTTGATCGTGAAACTAGCGCGCTATCCGTTGCGCCAACATAACTTTTTTTTTCTTTCTTTATTGCAAGTTGCGCCAACATAACTCTGCCTGTAATGCTCATGCATTCCCATATCATAGGCGAAAGCTTAGGTGCCTTCGCAGTTTTTCATGCATGTGTTATTTTAATTTGTGGCAAGAGTTCACGTCCAGAATGCTTTTAGAGTTTTCGACCAAAACGAGTTTTCTTCTTCCGAGTCACCTTCTAGAACCAGTAGACCGCACTGGGTCGTCCGGCTAATCAAGCAGCTATTTTCAAATTCTCTGGCGTGCCCGTCCTCGGATCCGAGGTCGCCGTTTGACAAGCTTAACTTTCTTCCACCTTTTAGCCGGAACCCCACGGCAGCTTTGTTCCGTCCCCACTCCCTCTCGAGAGGATGGCTCGCCCCGAGGCTAATCCCATTCTCTAAACCTCTTTTCATCCAACGCTTGACCTTTCCCTCCCCGTCCCTTGGCTTCGGGAGAGAAGGTTCTTCTTTGCAGAACGTCCCGTTTGTACAGCGGCCTTTAAAGGGACACTCAAGCGGTTTTTGGAGAAGCTACTTTTTGGTGCGATGGTGTTAAGGAAGTGTCAGTGAATGAGTATCTTCAGTTTTAGAAGGCAGAAACGCCTATTAATCACGCAGGAATAAAATACGTGCGGACTCTTTTCTGTACTTGCGAGGACCAATGAAATTATCGTATGTTTGAAAATTTTGGCGGTCTTTTTAAAGTTTCGCTAAAAAAACAATTTTCAGTTCATTTAAATATGTTGTGCATGATAATTTCACAAGACGTAAAATATTTCTAGTTTAGAATACGCGATAGCGCAATTATCGTTTCACAAACAAGGGACTACGTTTTCTATTTGCCTTCCTCCGCGGGGGGTGAATTTCCCGTTGCCCAGGGATGCGCGGAAGCGCACGTATCTCCGCGCGTAGCAGGCCGGTCGTGCCGGTCGCGGGCCAGCCGGCTCCTTCTATCCACAAACGTGGCGTCGGTGGTGATCGTCGGAATGGACGGCCTGGTGAAAGCTCATCGTTCCGCGTAAAAGCGCTATCCTTGACTGTGAATTTTCGTCGTGTTTCGCTATGATAACCCAGCACGTACTAGAAGGGAACATCCACCTACTCGTGCGGCGATGTCGTGGCGGCACTCTCAAGATAGCAGAAACGCCCGTGCCGTCGTGTTTGTTTACTTCGACTACAGTGGTGCTTTCTAAGCATTTGTGTCCTCAAACATCGCCCGGATTTCTGATTTGGCGCATTTCATGCGTGTGCTCAAGTTAAAGGTATTACTGGCGCGTACCGTATAAAGGATACGAATTTTCACGCGTTTTCATCACCGGAGAAAAGTGATTAGGGTTAGCAATCCTGAACGCTCGCAACGTCTATCTGATCACGAAATCATATTTCTACGTTGCTATATCCCTGCTAAGATTACATTGTCTTTTATAATCGTAGAAAAGGCGTGTGGCGATGTTTGTACTATTGCAATGTCGTGTATTAGAGTCGTGATCGTCCAGGACGGCGCTGCACTTTTTATTTTATTTTTTTCATTCGCTGTACCCTGCAAGCCTATCAAGAAAAAATAATAAAGCTTTAGACTAGAAAACTGTCCGTCTATATTCTGTTACGGCATTGAGTAGCAGTGCGTCCCCTTTTTTAGAGGGGCCGCTGACACAGCTGACGGCGGCGTACAGAAGCGGTCGCCGTGCTGACGACCCGCTGCGCTTGTTGTAGTGGTTACAGGTGTGGGTACGCGCGGCGCAGTGCGGCCGTTCCGGTCGCTCCGGTTGCAACGGACGCAGTCGTAGGTACGCGCTCGTTGCACATGTCTGAACCAGCCTTCCCCCCGTTCTCCCGAGGCGAAAGTCAACGTGGCGACATCGTTTGACATCACGCACCAGAGGTAACGCTGCGATGTCAAACGTTGGTTTGGTTACGACTTGCCCCAACCGCAAATCGAAGAACGCCCGAAAAGGTCTGCGTTTCGTCGTCCTCGGAACCCGAACATGACTCCGAAGCGCTGCTATCGTCCACATCGCACGTCGGAGTGGCGTCATAGGAAATCATCCCCAGGTCGGCTGTCCGAAGAAGAACTTCAACCTCTAACGGCGTCAGGTCCTCGAGCGTAGAGAACTCCGCCATGATCGAAACTCGAAGCTCGAATGACAAAGAGGTTCCGCCGATGCGGCTACCTCGGGATCACTGCGCGACGGAACGTCGTCCAACGCCATTGGCCCGAGATCCTTTTGATAAGCGTGCGACGACCAATGAGAGTGGTTTCGTTTTCGGATGGATCCGAGGTTTGGCGGCCTTCAATTACATTTTTATTAAAGAAATATTCACCGTATGACTATACTTTTTGGTTTTTAGGGATACTTAAGGCGTCTAAATTCAGCTGTCGTTATCAAAACACGAACTCAAAAACCACTTGACTGCCCCTTTAAAGTTCAAAGATTGTCCTGTCTTTATCGTCCCTTTTGTGTCTCCACTTTTTAATGTTTAAAAAGTATCAACACGCTAAAATAGTACAATTTCCGGGATTTCATTTTCATCCCCCAAGTGTGATGCGGGAACCGCGCCATAGAGCCACGGTCGTTTCCGTACTTTGTTATCGCTAGGATTTGACAGTGCTCAATCACGATGCAAGACACGCACAGAGCCACGCTCGCTTTTGCAATGCGCCGCCTAAAGGGGTGTCCAAACAGGACACAACTCCGACAAATCGTGAAAATTGAAGCGGGCTTGAAGCGGGCGCGTCCGCTTCAATTTTCACGATTTGTAGGAGTCGTGCGTTTTGTAGTGTCCTGTTTGGACACCCCTTAATAATGATATATCTTGTTGAGACGTGCACACATCCGTCTTGCGCAGTGTTAGCTCAACGGCAGCGCTTTCTGTAAAGGCGGATTCACACCGGGGATAGCAGTCGCGCGATCCAACTAAATCGCATCGCAAAAGAAAAAAAAAAGTAATTAGTTGGTCAATTTGGCGTGCGCGATGAGCGAGTCCAATGCCTTCGTTGGCGAGTCGCGTCTCAAAAACTCTCGCTCCGAACGCCGTTGGTTGGCTCGGCCTCTCCGCGACTAGAGTGCATCGCAAAACGTCGGGTCAGCAAGCGACTGCTCAAAACCCGTCACTTTTTGCCCGCGATGGTCGCTTTTGCGATGAAAGTTATGGCGCGACTAGATCGCGTCGCCGGTGTGAACGCGCCATAATGTCGAACCAGTCTCACGGCGCGTCCCGATATTGGCTTGTGTACCTACGCGCGAGTAAAACATCTGGCACAATTTGCGTTTGCAAAGCCTGCTCCAGCCGCGTCAAAACATTCAGCCAACCTTTGGACTGCAGAAATCAAGAGACAATCAAAATAAGATAAAGTTGCCAGCCGAATAAAACTTGATTTCTATTTAATTAAGATGAAGACCACCCGCGTACATCAAATACCTCATCAGCCGAACTCCAAGGCAGTAAGCCTAGTTCTGGCACTTGTTTGGCACCTTTGGCCCGTCGCTGCCAGATCACAGCCAAACTATCGGGAAGCGAAGCCTAACTTGGGCACTCGCTTGGCGACTTCGGCCCAAAGATGCCAGATCTCAACCGAACTACGAGGTAGTAAGCCTAACTCTGGCACATTTGTGGCGATTTTGGCCCGAATGTGCTAGGTGACAGCCGAACTGTCAAAAAGTGAAGCCTAACTTTGGCATTAGCTTGACGATTTTGGCCCGAAAATGCCAAAGCTCTGCCGAACTACAAGGTAGTAAGCCTAACTCTGGCACATCTGTGGCGATTTTGGCCCGAATGTGCCTGGTGACAGCCGAACTGTCAAAAAGTGAAGCCTAACTTTGGCATTAGTTCGGCGATTTTGGCCCAAAAATGCCAAAGCTCTGCCGAACTACAAGGTAGTAAGCCTAACTCTGGCACATCTGTGGCGATTTTGGCCCGAATGTGCCAGGTGATAGCCGAACTATCAAAAAGTGAAGCCTAACTTTGGCATTAGTTTGGCGATTTTGGCCCAAAAATGCCAAAGATCTGCCGAACTAACGGGCAGTAAGCCTAAATCTGTCATTTGTTAGGCGATTTAGGCCCGAAGATGCCAGATAATAACCGAACTACCCGGCAGCGAAGCCTAAGTTTGGCACTTGTTTGGCGAATTAGGGCCAAGATACCCAGACTGTTGCCAAGGGAGGTCAGGTTTGGCACTACTTTGGCTTCTTCGGGCTTTTTAATGCCCTAAACTGCCAGACGCAAGCCAAGTTTTGGCCCAGAACTCGGTGCTGCCTGGGTAGAAATGAGGTCCGATGACGTAAGCAATAAGGCTGGGTATACGTTGTTCGCTCCCTACGAACTGCTCATTTAAGGCTTATAAGCCACAGCGCGAGTTGAGGCAAAGAAAAAGTTGCTGTGGTTTAGATGTCTCGAAATATTAAACGAGGAACCGTAACTCGTAAATCAGACAGAAAGTAAATAAAGCACGTTACCTTTTACTTTTCTCTGCAGCAAACTAAGTTTATTTCCTAGTGTCAAAACAAACTGACTACCTGCAAGGAGCGCGTCATGCACAGTGTGCTACCTATTGGCAAGGTAGAGAGATCAACGCAACACAGGTGTGACTTACGCCGACTGGTTTTCTCCGTACTGAGCCAAGGTTTGATATTGTCCATCCTTTTCCGACTTCAAATGACTATGCCTTAAACACTTGGATGTTCCAAATGCCGGGTCCTTCTCATAGTTTCTGTACAGCATGTACCAGGTCTGGGCGAGCGGGAACCCCTGCACGCGTAGGTGGCCGTTTGAACAACGAACCTGTGGTTTACTGGTCGGAAGAAATAACTTCCCTGGTCTACGCTGGTTAGGACACAATAGAACACTGCTTTGTTCGGCTAAAACTCAGAAAAGAAGCGGTACATGACAAGATCGGAAAAGCTTACGCCGAATACACGTGATTATGCAGGCTCTTTTATTCTCAATCCGAGCAGATTTAGTACTATTATATATACTTCTGTCTACTACTACTACAAAAAAGAACAATTCCTGAAAGGTGCATTATTGCGGTTTATGCACGAGAGTTACACCACCATGGGGACATAATATAGAGGGCCAATCCTCACTACAAGTCGAATACCTATATAAAATGTCTTAATTAAATTCTGAATTGGGGGAAATGAACATACGGATTTCATTAAAAACCTGCTAAGCGTCCTTTAAAATCCTTAAATCAAACTTTAGAACGGCATAAAGTACGTGGGAAGCGCGTGGGTGCACCAAAGTCACCTTTCGCGCAACAGGCGCCAATCTAGCGCAGGGAAAACGCGGATGTTCAGATTATTCTCTGCGTTTTACCGTGGCTAGCATTGCACCTGTTTGGTCCCCCCCCCCCCCCCCCCCGATTTCTACGTGCCTCAAATCGTTATAGCATTGAATAATTTGGTGGTTTTAGAAGGCGCTCCGCAAGTTTCTAATTGTAACCATATGTTTAGTTTCGCTCATTTAGAAGTTAATTGAGATCGTTCATTTAATTATTCCCCTTTCTCCTGAGAATTAGACTTCTATATTATGTGCCTTTGGCAACATGACTTATCTACAGAAACAGCATTAGTGTACCTTTCACAGATGTTCTGTAATACAAATTGAATTTAATTTTAATAGGAAACGAAGTTTTAATAAATATCGATAATAAGATCGAATTGAAATCAAGCACCCTCCATATTTATTAAAAAGATATACTTTTAGTTGTCGACTTCTAAATCATCCCACAACACCCGAAACTGCTAAAACATTTTTGTTTTAATAAGGATGACTTAATTCAATTTAAAACGTCAATTTAGCAGTACGCTTTGTGCAACAGGTTACTATGTGCTCATGGGCAAAGTAAGTTTCATTACAACTATTTTTATGAATATTCACTTCAGTTGATTTCCTATTAACCCGCTCGAAACTGTATGTACGTACACATACCTTAGATGCGTCTTGGTAAATTTGGAGCTTAGGATTAAGCTCCGGGTAATGCGGTGTTGCGCTACATCTCAGAAGAATCTGGAAAGCGGCAACCATAAGGACAGGCGACATCATAAAACCCGTTAAAGCAGTACGGACTGTATGACGCTAAGGGGCAGCGATGGTGCACTTTTTATAGCTGATGTCTAAAGGGAACTTGCAATTTAATTCTTTTTGATGCGCACCTGGAGTTTCTCGTCCTGCTTTCACGGTCGCAATGAAAACAACTCGATATATTAAAATGACAGCAACCAGGCATATCATTAATTTTGATAACATTACTCTGAAAGCTGTTCCCCTATGTCTGTATGAACGATATCGCTATAAACAAAACAAAAAAAAAAGAAAAAAAAAAACACGTCGCCTGTAGAACGACCCGCATGGAAGCCATAAACTTGGGCCTCACGCACCTCGAGGATTACAACTCTGATGTTTGTCTCCTTCTTCGTCAGCAAATGACTTAATATTTGATGGACAAGCTTTTTCCTTAAATGAATTGGTAAGTGAAGAAAACGTTGCCAGGACCATCGTAGTTAGTTACCTGTTGACAAACCCATGGAGTTGGGTTACAAAGTCGATGTGGTGGTCAGCCAATGCTCCTGGCTTGGCGGCATTTCTTGGTATTCTCTAAGTTCCAGTCTCTAATTCCCCATAACAAATGTTCCCCGCTGATGATGATACCGCTCTAGTTGCAATTTATGTACAAGTTCTACTTCTTCGTCAAAAGATTATTGAGCGTCGCGCGCTCAATGATGCCGAATCACTTCTCCGAACACTACTCACCGCAAAGAAAACAGGTAGATTCCGTGGTAGTGTGAACCAAAGGGCCGATTAAGGAAAATAATGCAAGATGACTATAATTGGGTCATTATCACTATTCAGTAATACATTCATAATTTTTTATATTAACACGCTAACCCCAATTTCAACACTCTGTAAGTCTGTGCGCGCATTGTCTGTTTCATTATGGGGAAAAATAGACCTCACGGCACCTAATGTCACGTGACCTTTATAACAAATGGGGAAATTGGCGTCGCGTGACTTATACGTCATTCAAGTTTGCTCGCTAAATTTAGCGGAAAATCCACGTCCTGTGACCTAATCTCTAATTGAGCTTTCCCCCTAAGTTTAGCGGGGAAATCGACGTCATATGGTCTATACATTTCGGTTTTGCCGCTAAATATAGCGGGAAACTGACATCACATGACCTATACACATATGCAGTTTCACTGCTAAACTTGGCGGTAGAAATCGAGGTTCCGTGACCTGATATCATGTAACTTATACAAAAATTCAGTTTCCCCGCTAAATTTAACGAAGAAATATACGTCGCGTGACATTCAACTGCCTCGCTCTATGCCCTCTCTCCCCCCCTTCCCCTGCTTTCTCTCCCCATCGGCCCCTCCTTCCTAGGGTGTCCTCCTAATATGTCTGCTTTCCCCTCGATCTCCATCTATCTCTCATTCCTCTCTCTCCCCTCTCCCTCCCTCCCATTTTCTTCCTACCTTTGTTTTTCTCTCTCCCTCTCTCTTTCTCCTTCCTCGTCTCTCTCTTTTGCCCAACTCTCCCCCATTCTCTTAAGGTGCCCCCTTTCCTAATCTCCCTGCACCTCTCACCCTTTCCCCTCCCTCCCCATCCTAAAGTGCCCCCTTTCCCCTCCCTCTCCACTTGCCTCCCTTCTTGCTCCCCTTCCTGTTCACGTGACAAACGAACTCAGTTTCCCCAAAATTGATAAAAATAGAGGTTCTTTGCTCCCGGAATGACTGCTCACAATATTTTTAGAAAACAATTGAGTGATCTCTTCTAAATAACTGCATTTCATGCAGTATAGGACTTTGAACATTAAGGTCGCGTCCAATTTTAATTTTAAATGTATGGATTAAAAAAAAAAAAACCGATGCGAATTCTTCAAAATTATTAAATCCGCCCATATTGCAATGACATAAAAAATGCGCTGCACTTTACAGTGTAAAAAAAATTAAATTGGACGTGTTTTTAGGTTTCGGCTTCTTAACAGAGCTTATCTCCGCTCCAGCAACTCCGTTCTCCATGGCCAAAACGCGTAAGTTAAGTGCGCTGCCAGGCCTCCCACTTAGAAGAGTCTGGATAAGAAAGTTTCCGGACTTCTACATCCTTTGGGACGTGGGTGCCAACAACGTTAGTAGACCATTTCTCACTTGTTGAACTCCGGCGTGGCGTGTGTACCCTTTCTGCGGCTCGCCGCGAGGGACGCGCGCGACGGGGTTTGTCCGGTTTGCTCCCGGCTTCCCGATCCTGCAGCCCGACTGGCCGCCCGCTCTTTGCACATTTCGGTCAGATGTGACCAAGTTTGTCCCCATTCTCATCGATAACTTCAGGAATGTGCTGATGTGCCATGCCAGTGGTGTTATAAAAATTCCGTTTCGCTTTGTGCCAGGGTGCAAAAGCGGTTACGATTCCGCGGGATCTGCATCTGCGGTCGAAAAGAGGCACTTCTTTAGACTGTGGGAGCGAGGGCCGGCCACCACCACCAGAGGCCGCTACGACCACCCAGAGAACATCTGGGCCGCGCAAACGTCCGGCCGCGCAAGTGGATAAAAGAGGGGGACACGCCCACAGTAGGGGGAGACGGTCCGGCGACACAGGGACGTGTAGGTCGAATGCCCGGCATTATTATACTTTATTACTAACAACCCTTTGATGTTACTTTAATAAATGTAGTTTCTCGTTTTGGAAACCCCGGCTCCGTGTTGTTCCTCCCGGATGGGCATGCAGCAAGGCAACCCCACCACATGGCGCCCAACGTGCTTTTGCTGCCCTTCTGTCGGAACGACACGGGGCTGGGTTTCTTCTCTCGGTAAGTTTTTTCAATCGCGGTGTTTCTTTTCCAAGTAGTGCTGGTATTCGCGACAGCGCGAGTGCTCGCTGAATTGGAGCCTCAAAGCATTGCTTAGTCACGCGGGGGCGTGTTTATCGCTCTGGGGGCGTGTTTATTTTTCTCGAGTGGAGTATATTGCCTGTTGCCGCACACGTTTTCTTGTCTGCTTGGCGTTTCTGTTTTTTCCCGCCATGTCTCCCACACTACGGTCCGAGACGAAGGATGGCGAAAAGCCTGGAGCAAGCGTGGACCCCGCGGATGCGCAGGCCGAATTGCTACTGAAGGTGGCAGCCATGTGTGATGCGGTTACACAGCGTCCCGCCGTGCAGCAGTCACGTGAGCCGGAGCTGCGTCCCCAGCTGACGGTGCCGGTGTACACTGGCTACAACGACGTCAAGTCAGTCGCCGACTTTCTGGGTGAGCTCGACGTCTACAAAGCCGCCTCAGGCGCCTCGGAATCCCTCGTGATAAGCAGAATACTCCCACTCGCTCTAAAGTCTAGCGCCGCGTGCTGGTTAAGGCTGCAACCTACGTTCACCAGCCTAGCGGAGTTCGAGCCGCAATTCCGAGCAGAGTTCCTGCCACCTGGTTACGAGTTACAAATCTTGAAAGAACTCGAGTCCCGAACGCAACATCCGAACGAAAGCCTGGTTCAGTATGTTCGCGCGTTGCAGGAACTCACACGAAGGGCACAACCTAATGCCTTCGAGTCGGAGATTATAGCTCGGGTCCTCAGACAATGTCACCCAAAGTACCACGTGTACCTACACGGCCGCACCTTTGAGACCATTGAAGAGCTAGCCCGGCATGCCCGCAGCACAGAGGAGATCTTCCTCGCTCAGAAGAGCTATCTCCCACCGCCTTTGGCCGCAAACTCTCTCGAACCCGCATGTGCTTGGCAGGGCCCCGAGGCAATCCCGGCGCTAAGACCTCCACGGGACTGGCACAGAGTGCCCAATCAAAGCAGCCGGAGGCGCTCTAGTTTTGGTTCAATGCGGGGCCACTGGAGGACGTCCGAAGAGCGCCCTGGTGCCGGCGACTCAAGCAGGTATTCGGACCAATGCCAGAACTGTGGACAGCGCGGCCACTTCCAAAGAGAGTGCCCAAATACAAACCCGAGGCAGAACGAAACAAATGGCGGAAGGGCTGGAAGTGAGCGGAGGGATTGTGGAAATCCGGTTAACCCTCGCGCGCCTATGGGCCGTGAAAATCCGGAAGGTCACGTGGCATCCCGATCGGGAAACTATTACGGCCGGCGGCAATGAGCCCCACTGCAGAGCCGCCGATGGCCGCTATCACAGCCGGGATCACGCACGCAGCGTCACTTGTTCCATCGGTATGTCGAATTCAGCCTAACAGCGAAATGATCGAGCCACGCATGACGATCACTTTGCTCGGTTTTCCTTTTGCCGCGCTTTTGGATACCGGGGCTGCTATCTCGCTTATAGGGGACGCTGCCTATGAACTATGCAAAAATAAAAAAATAACCTTTCGTTTGGCAGACACACGTCTGCAGTTAGCCTCCGGGTCAACAATATCGGCAGACGGAGCCGCAAGGCTTAAAATTTCATTCAATGAGAAGAAACGGCGTCAGCGCTTTCTGTATCTTCCGGGGCTCGCCGTACCCGTGATCTTGGGTCGAGATTTTATCGCAGGCGTAAGCATGACGCTTGACTTCTCTGGTGGCGGCTATCGTCTGGGAAACCACGCGGACCTGACTCCGTTCACCAGACGAGAGAACTGCATCGCTGGCCCAACCCTCCCAGCCCACTTCACAACGCCTGCAGCTGCCCTACCATCCAAAATCTCGGATACCCTTCAGAAGTGTCCGGGCACTGACCTCCAGAAGAGACAGCTGGAGGACGTCCTGCGGCCGTTCTCTCCGATGTTCACGGAGCGACCAGGAAAGACAGACATCCTGCTGCATCGGATTGAAACCGGTAACGCACCGCCTCGGAGGTGCAATCCACGCCCCATCAGCGTGCACAAAAGAGAACTCCTGGACGTGGCCCTTCAGGAGATGCTGGACACCGGCGCAGTACGTGAGTCAAAGAGCCCTTGGGCATTTCCTGTCGTTCTCGCTCCGAAAAAAGATGGAACTGCCAGACTCTGCGTAGATTACAGACGGCTGAACGAAGTGTCTGTACGGGACAGCTACCCTTTTCCCAGCATTTCCTCTATAATGTACGCGCTCGGCAACGCGACGGTGTTCACC